TCCAGCTCTCACAGCATACATTACTACTGGAAAAACCATAGCTTTGACTATGCGGATCTTTGTTGGCAACATGGTTCAGTAAGAATCCTCAAAATGGATTAATTTACTGGCCTGATTGGGTGTGCAGTGTGAAGGCAGGTCATACGTTGTGTGAACTCAGCCAGTGTGGTTATTTATTGTGCAGTACAGACCTGGCCAGTTTGGACTAATTCACTAGACCATGATTAATTAGCAATAAACTCAGCTCTTGGGTGAACATAACCAAAGTTTTTTTGGGGGGGCGGGGGAAATGTGGAATGAGCTTTCCTTTCTCTGGAGCTACTACAGAAACTATGCTATCTGGCAGTCTGGACTGTTTGCTTAATTATCAATAATGCCTGTCTGATCAATAAGCCGCTAAATATCTAACTGCATTTACTACTCTTCTGTGGCAACAGAAAATATGACCAGAAATAATGGGTATAAATTGCACCTGCCTAGATTTCATTTCACTGTAAAGAATTTCCTGATGGTAAGACCTGCACAACGTGGAGATTGTAGGATCTCCATCTGTGGAGGTTTCTAAGAAGAGTCTGGAGAACTTCTTTTTGAGGATAGTTTGCTTGCACATTGCAGAGGGTTGGACTAGATCATTTTTTCCAAACTTGGCAACTTTAGGATGTGTGGACTTCAACTCCCAGAATTCCGCAGCCAGCATGCTGTTGAAGTCCACACATCTTAAAGTTGCCAAGTTTGAAAAACACTGGACTAGATTATCCTTGTGTTCTCTTCCAGCCCTGTGATTCTGTTAATTCACTGCCAGCAGTTGTGGTTATGGTGGCCAATGGTTGGTTTGAGAAGGGGATTGGACAGGATCATGGAGAATCATGGTTTTGGTGGCTACTAATACTGATGCTGTTTAGTACATCCTGAAACAAAGAACATATATTTTGGTTGCTGGAAAGTGACAGTGAGAGATTCTTTCAACTTCTGCTCCAGCTTTGTGACCTTCCCAGATGCATTCATTGTTTTCATGTTTTTCTCTCTTGCCCACCACCTCATCTTCTTGGTTAAAGTTTAAAATGAAATGTTCCATTTACCTTTTGGATAGTACAAGTTAACATCAATTAATATATTTTCATAGGGCCATCCGAATGCCTAGAATTGATCTAATCTGTCCAATATCTGTAGCTCAGAGTTGAACAGTGGAGTTCTTGGTGCTCTCTGAGCTTGGTTGTTTGCTTGTAGATGTTTCATTACCCAACTAGGTAACATCTTTCATTACAAACTAAAATTCAGTAGAAGAGAAGCAGTGGACTGAGGGAAGATAAAGATGGGCTATAAATAAAAGAAGGAAGTGGGATTAGTTTAGGTTTTCTATAGTCTTTGTTTCACTATCGTGTGAGGTCTAAGGGACTGAGGAAAGATTTCAGTGAAATGGGAAAGATGGTTATATGGAAGTCAGTTCCTGCCAGGTATGATCCCAAAAGTCAAAATGGTGGTCATAAAAGCGCAACCAAAGCTCCACCTGTTTTTTATGTGTGTTGCATAATAAAAAGTTTCAATTGTGTTATCCTGGGTGCCATCTTGACTTCTTTGATTATACCCTGGGGACACCCCTGTGTAGAAGTATCAGATAGATGTATTGGTAGGGCCTGAATGGTACAGGAAAAGCTCTACTCTGGACTCCATTTAATTTTATTTGGCTCATGCTACTTTAGATGTTTAAATGCTACTTAGATGTTCAAATCTGGTATCTAAGAAGGCCAGCATGCAAAGTAAGGTGGATGGATCCTTTCTGTAATTTAAAATTTGTGGAAGGAGTACAGGTACCCATAATAATTTATGACCCACATTTTAAGACCATGTAAAGAAAGCCTGACATCATTCTCTTCTACTTTTCAAAAATTGGCAAGCAGCTACACACAGCTCATTGCAATGTCTTATTTTTCAGACTCATGGTACTAATGCTGGAGCTTATGATTAATTCTGAGTCATATTTTCTGACAAACACTAAACTCTGTTTTCATTACTGATTCAGTCGTCAGCCTGCTGTTTTCTGTACTTCATTTTCATTTGTCGGCATGTCATGCTTTGAAGCATAGCATGCAAAGTGACTTCTGTTGTGAAACCTCTGGGGCTGCCCTTATCTAGTGTCTTTTGCTCCCACTGAGGATAAATTCTTTTAAAGGTTCATTGTCTTGGGATCTCTCTGCCCAGAGTTCACACACTGCACTAATCTATAATGTGGTTTGTTTGATTTTGCCTTACTGTACTGTCCGAGACTATTGAACAGATAAAAGAAAGCTGTACTGTGTTCTTTGCATCCAGCTGTTGTGATTTATAAACCACAGTTGGTGAATTTAATGTTCCGGTTTGTCATTTATTCAACAAACCAAGATCTGACAGGATGTGCTGACCTAGCCACTGAATCAGTTCTTTTGGGATGGACAAGGCTTCCACCTGGCCTTTCAAAGAAGAAAATGGTGGTAGTCTTGTTATGACCTATTTTAAGCCTAACATTAAGTACCACCCCATCAATTTCTTAGGTGAATGCCCGTTTGAGAATACGTGTGGATTTATTTATAGGTTTGTAGTCCATTGGACACGATTGAACAGATTTTTTAAAAGTCCATCTTTTTATGTACTCTTCATGAATATCTTTGTTAGTAACAGAATTCTATAGAATGAAGTTTCCCGTTCAGCGTAGAAATGAGGGAATAAGATTAAGATGTTACTGTACTTGAATTTATTAAAGGTTTCATATTTGTTTGTTACCAAAGATTTTACTGAGATGATGAGGGCTCTTGGCTATCCCCGGCTTATCTCGATGGAGAATTTTCGCACTCCAAATTTCATGTTGGTTTCAGAGATACTCCTTTGGCTGGTGAAAAGGTTGGTACTTAACTTTAATTTCAAAGTAAATATCAGCAGTTGTGATCACAGTACTGAAATGCTTGGAGCTTTCCAAAAGAGCTGGCTTAAAGTTGAAACTCAGAGGTTGAAATATTCTGGAAGATTTCCAGTTTTTTTAAAAAAAGGTTGCAACTAAAATACCCACAAAGCCTTTTTAAAATATTGATGTTTGATCATCAGTTTAAACCATCTGTTGTTCCTCCATGGTAGCTCAGCATATTTTTGAGATTAAAATCACTTTCCTCAACTGTTTTCCATTTGAAATTAAGCATCAGAGGAATTTCCCACTAATATATTAAAAAGACATTGGTAAGATATATGGGGTTGGTAAAAAAGTAAATTTAAGATTTGTTGTGTATTTTGTAAACAAGACATTCTGGCGATGCATAACCTAAAATTCCTGGGTTATCTGCAGTCCCAATCTTCAAGTTTTTGGGGCAGCTCCCCAGAAGTCCTCTTAAAAATTGCTGCTTAAATTATAGTTTGCAATAGGACAGAAGAGGGTAACTATTAAAGTCACAGGGAGCAATCACATAAACTAAATTAAATTACAGTGCAATTCAGTCAAGTTTAGTTTTTGGACTAGCCCTGCCCAGTCCTTTGTCCTCATCCCATGTTTTTTGTGGTGTGCGGCCCCCATCACGCCACTCAAAATCCATGTGTGGTCCTCAGACCATAAAAGATTACATCCTTCTGCACTGAAAATTAGGCAATAAGTAGATTAATTTGATTCAGTTTGGGGATTGTTCCATTAAGAACTCAAAAATATTTCAAAGGAATTAGCTTTCTTTGCATTTAGAGAGACCTGTAATTTTCTTGGAAGAGCAAAGACAGCTTTATGCTTTATTTAGTTCTGAGTTTAAAATAGTGAACCTTTCTCTTGCTCTCTGCTGTTATATTAAAGGTTGGTACCAAAGTCTCTAAAGCAGTCCCAAGTATGCCTATTTCTAATCATTTGAACTGATGAGTGTTGATTCCTACGTAAGAGGTCTAGTGAATTCCAGCTTGGCTGATTTCTACTGAACTGAACAGGACCTTATTTCAGAACTGGTCTTTCAGGAGAAGAGGTGCTTGATGATAATGAAGCACAGCAGCAATGTTGTCTGCAAATAGTTCCCTACTTTCTTCTCCTTGCAGGCTGAGTCTCATCATCAGCTGCTCAGATCAGCAGCAATCCTCCTTCCAGGGGTGACCGACCAGGTAGTCTCAGCAAGAGATGTGAAAAATCGTATTAATAATAATATCCTGCAACACCTCTTTTCCATCTGTCACTGAATCTCTAGAAATCTTTCCATGGAGAATCTTTTGGTTGATGATTTTCTGGGAACCAAGTAGAAAAGGGTATTATACGGGGGGTTTCCCCTCCTTTCTGCTGGTCCTGATTTAGTTCTCATTGTTGCTCTGGGTTGCTTCGTGTTAAGTTTTATAATGTTTTATAGTATAGTATGTGTCCATTGTATTGCTAGCCATTTTGAACAGCTGTAACACAAATAGTGGGATGTAAATGTTTCAATTCAGATAAATATAATGAGATGCTGCTGGAACCTGCTTAATTCAATATATGTTGCCTTTTGCAGATATGAACCTCAGACTGATATCCCTTCTGATGTTGAAACAGAGCAGGACCGGGTTTTTTTCATTAAGGCTGTTGCTCAGTTTATGGTGAGTTTGTTTATTTAATGTCGATGGCCCAGAAAGGTCGTAAGCAAATATTAAATACAGTACCAGAGTGCTCTCCAGTTAATTTTATTTGTTTGTTTGTTTTGAATGAAGAAACAGAGAGAGAGAAGGAGAAGAAAAATGGACCTGTAGTTTGAGAATTGGGTCTCAGTATGGCAGAGGTTGAAGCTGGAGATAGGTCCTGAGACTAATAATGTTGAAGACACTCTTAGTATTAGAAGAGTTATTAGAAATATATGGAAAGAGAGATGTAATGGACATGTTGAATTCATGATGACTTGTCTGCCTGGGGTAGAGACTGCATTCAGCATCTCTCAGATAGATAGGCTGGTAAAAAATTCTGGGATGGAGGAGCAGGTCCAGTGTGTATGTTGATGAAGATTCTCAGTCATCCAGGTGGAATTATCAGATGATGTCCCATGTGTATAACTGCCAACAGAACTACCTTAGAAGACAACCTCTAGGTTGCTAATGGAACTTCAAGGGCACATTTTCAGAAATGCTTCATATATTGGGCCAAATAAACAAGTATACATGGATTGGAGGAATTGGAGGAAGAACTGAGATGTAGTAGGCCCTGGATACATTTAGAACAAACCAAACCTGTACAAAGAGGTGGGCTTGGACTCCAGTGGAGACAAATGGATGACTCTTCTTATCAGAAGCAATCTTATTTATTATGGAACGTGTTAACAAGAATGAAGGATGACATAATGACTGTAATGGCTATAGGCAAAAGCATTTGAAGAGAATTTTAGTGTGGGGATGTTAACATGCTAGGTACCTCTGAGCCAAAGGATAAGAGAAATGGGATACCATTGTGGGAAGCCGGATCCTGGACCAGATGATTAGTGGGGCTCTGAGGTTCTTTAGATTCTTGTTTTAAGTCAACAATGCCAGGAAAATGCAACTTCCTGTATTTAGTGGTGGTTTGTAATACTGGTGGAAACTCAAATCATCTTTGAAAGAGGAAAGCCAAAAATTAGGCAAATTTTAGTTTAGCAAGAATGCAGTTAAATGTTGCCCAAAGAGGGCCAGTATATTGCAAATATGGGTTCCTTGTTCTGTTATAGAACAATAATTGTCTGTCTTTGCCCTCAGTTCCAGACAACCTATTTCAGGGGCTCTCAAAAATTAATTATTCCTTTGTCTATGTAGCCTTATCAGGTCATTAGCACAGAACTGCACTGTTCCGTTACAGTGGTTAGCACCACTGTAATCTGAACCTTTTCTGTTATTTTTTAATCTCCTTTGTTGATGTGGTTGTTGAAGGATGATTTTAAAATCCACTCCATCTCAGAAAATGGAATGATGTAATTGGGGAGAGGCGATCCCTCAGATATTCTTTCTGCCTCTTCCTAAAGCTTTCAGCTCGGCCTGGTTGATGTCCCATTTTGACCAATCTCAAGGACCTTGATCTCCTGCTTTATCCTTTTCCTGCTCTCTTCAGTGAATTTCTTCAACTTGGGATAGCTTTTTTTTTATTTTTTGTTTTTCAGTTATAAGGGAAATTATCTTTTTGGCAACACTTCTGTCATATTTCATAACATCGACAAGTTACCTGCTTGTTCCCATAGCTTCCTCTGTTTCTCCCCTAACAACATAGGGTTCTTCCAACCCATAGAAGTCCTTGCTATTATCCACAGCCTTTGTCTCCTCCCTCTGCTGTTACTTACACCTTTCTTTTTCCAGAGCCCTGTAGGTGATTTTTTAAAAAAGCAACAATTGTTTATACTCCTGAGTAGGAGTGCATTAGCTTGTTATTATTTGATTCCAAGCATAGCTTGCTGCTATCAGGGTATGAATATTAACTGATTATAATCCATTAATATACTCATTTGGGGGTTTGAAATCACTCTTGCCATTAGAAAGATATAGAAGTCACTTTGATGGCACGTTTTTAACATCTCTGTGGACTTTGCAAGATGTTCCCCCCTCTATTTTCACTTCAGTAGAATTCTGGTGTGAATGTGTTTAGTGCCAAATTGATATAAGGTGTAGGCTGGAAAGTTTTAAGAATAAAGACAGGTTTTTGTTCTAGTCTTTTCCCTGTAGCCAGATAATTTTGTTCACATTTTTAAAATAGTTTCTAGTTTGAGATAGGCAGCAGAGCTCTGCTTGGTCAAAGCAAACTGAACATTCACAGATAGTAGTCTGTGTGGGGTGAAAATTTGTCATCTATTTGCCAAGGATTTCCTAAGCATCCTGTCTCCCATCATTTCTACCTGAGAATTTAACTCATTCACAATCCATTTGTGTCATGTTTTGAACTAAAAATACTCCCACCAGGGGTAAGACTTTCTTGAAGACTTCAGTTTTTATATTTGCATCCTCAAGTTGATAGTTTTATTTTGGAAGGAGTGGTAATGTGGATGCACACAGATGTAGTTTGCAGAGCAGTAACCTTGTGCTTTCAGGACACATCTGAAGGAGGCTGTTGATAACAAGGCAAAATCAACAGAATAAAATCTAAGATGATTACAGCTATCCTTTCTACAGCATGTTCAGAATCACTGGAGTTTTTAGCAGAAGACAGTTTTGAATGCAAGATGGCAGGAAACTGTGCCGCTGATTTTCACCAGCAGTTAGCGGGCTCCAAAATCTGCAAAAAGGATTGGACGGGTCACCTGCTGCCTTGCCACTGGAGGTGGGACTGTATGAGTACTAATTCCAATTATGGTTAGATTAAAAGGTGCTGTTTTGGGCATTGCCTAAAGCCTGTGAATAAGAATGGCTGATCTGTCTATGAATATTTATTCAATTGCATGTGAAGAGAGAGATTAAAGACTTGCTGCAAGGGATCAGTAAGCAGAAAGCAGGATAGCTGATAAAAAAGTGTGTGTGTGGAAGGGCAGGAAGGCCAAGAAAGAGACAAGTGGAGAGATAAGCAGAGATGTCTATGGAAAGTGCAAGCAGCCACATGGCCAAGACCAGTCTGTTACTCAAGATTTAGGGCTGATCAGTATATTATACATAGCCACCGATATACAGATCACAGAGAAATACTGGGTTGCTGGAGGACAGTATTGCCTCTGCCACACTGAGTACCTACAATAGGCCCTTCTGTGCAAATTGAGATGCTTCCACTTTTGAGTCTTGACTGACTTTTAAATGGCTGCCTGTTGGACCTGTGACTGGTGGGATCAAAAAGGCTAGTTTTGGTTGATCTTAATAGCTGGGATGAAATCATTGTGCTTGTTCTATCTTAATCACATCAATTTCATTATACATAATTTTAAGGCTCATACAGAATGCAGAGAGTGACACTATCCCCTATTTGTGCCTTTGCCCAAGTCAAGAAATGTATTCCATTTTCAACCAGGCCTTGCCACTTGCTCCTCCTCTCCTGTTGGCCCCTCCCAGGAGTGCCCCTTCCTCCAGGTATATTCCTCATTTAATTTCCCAAGTGCATTAGAAGTGTTAGGGTATGTAAATGTACTAGATTGGATTGACTTATGCCCTACGCCAGGGAGTGAAATCAAAATAGAATAATCACAGTTTAATGGATCCAGGATGCATTGTGGATCTACAAGGGCTTTTGAAAGAGAAGTATCCTTTAAAACAAGTGATCCCATTATGGCAAATCACAAAGAGAGCTATAGCCTTTGCAAGAAAGGAGGCTCCATGGCATGGACAAAACTGATGTGTCAATTAAATGAAGATCTGGTCAACTGTAAATTTCACCCTTGGTAAACTAGAGCAATAAAGTTCCTGTGCTGAATTTCCCTTCTAATTAATCAGGACCTGGCTGCTCCAGACGGTATTTGCTACATTAGGATGAATGTATTTATTTTATTTATTTATTATTAAATTTGTATGCCGCCCATCTCCCCCCAACAGGTGACTCTGGGCGGCTCACAATTAAAATCATTGCTCAAGCTTTCTTTTTCTTCCCTTTTACTCTGTTAGAATTACAGAGCCTCACTGAAGGTGCCTCTGTTTTTAGGTAAAACATATTTGATGTACTGTTAGGGTATAGGACTAGAACCAGAGAGACCCTGATTCAAGTCTGGATTCAGCCATGGAGACATATTTGGTGTCTTCGGGCCAACTATGATTTCAGTTCAACCTACCTCGCTGGTTAGCTATTGTAGGAATAACCTTGGTGGAAGGGTTAACATGGACGCCCTCTTGAATTTCTGGAGAAAAGACAGATAAATCTAACAGATGAATAAATAAAATGAAAATCTTTGGAAGGTGGCTCTAGGTCCCAGCAGTTGCAGGACCTAGTCAGAAGGCATGTGGTACAGCCTCATTCTGGAATCCAAACCGTCCCACATCATTTCATTTCCTGATCTGGAAGCTATTTGGGGGTTCTCTGTAAATAGCTGTGAGGAGCATCATCCTGGGATATAAATCTATTAATAGCGATAGCAGAGCATTCATTTGTTCTTCCAACAGGCAACCAAAGCTCACATAAAACTCAACACCAAGAAGCTTTACCAAGCAGATGGCTATGCTGTGAAGGAGCTGCTGAAGATCACCGCTGTGCTTTACAACGCCATGAAGAGCAAAGGAATGGAAACCACAGCTGTGGGTGAAGAAGACACCAGCAAATTCAAATTTGATCTGGGTTCCAAAGTAAGGAACTTTGAATTTCTTCTTTTATGTGCTGAGTCTTTCCTTTCCTCCTAGGGCCTTACAGCATCATTTAGGTGGGTCATAACTCCCTTATAAAGTGGATTAGGTGCCGTCCTATGTATAATGATTGAAGTCAGCATATCCTGCATCTACATCCATCTAACCAGAAGTTCACATGACTTTAGTTTAAAGAAGACCATGTTTGTTTTTGTTTTAGAAGGCTGATTTTTCCCCCTCCCATCTGGAATAAAATAGCTGTGAGGGGGATGGGGGAGGTATTCTGTTTCCATAGTTATTAACAAAATCCAGTAGACATACTGACCTGGATTCATGCATTGTGCTAAACCATAATTTGTTGAATAAATCATGGTTGATTGGGTCTGTACTTCAGGCTAAGTCATAAGCAGTAGTGTATAAACTGCAATGGTGAGATTCACATGCCATGATAAGCCAAACCTGAAAATAGCATTGTAGCTTAGCATGGTGTGTGAATCTAGGTGCGCATCTTGCTGCAGGGACACATTGTCAAATGCTCCCATTTGCTAATTTCCACCAAATAACATGCAGGTAAAAATCTAGAACTGCTCATTTAGCAGACATTGTTAATGCAGAAAAAGTGGAGTTCAAACGAACTAGAGTGCAAGGTTAATGTAGAGACACGATGCAACAATGAAGGCAGGTAAAACAAGCAATTAAAAATGAGCAACTTATCACTGCAGCAGGGAGAAAGGGACTCAAATAATAATTACAACAAGAGAAAGTAAAGGGTTCAAAAGTAAAGAGGAAGACAAAACAAGAAAGGCTGGCTGGGGAATTCTGGGAGTTGCAGTCCAGACATCTTCAAGTTGCCAAGGTTGAGAAACACTGTTCTAGTAGCACCCCGTTTCCTCTTCCTTGAGGAAATGCTATTTCTTAAGAGGGGCACATTCAGTTTATAGACAGGAATAGATATTTCTGATTAGTCCAGGACTATTGGCTCTTTCAGGCCAGTGTTAGGATGCATACGTTTTCACAAAAAAGTGCTTCAGCTGGATACTTGCATTTTGAAGAAATGCTTTGGAAGAAGGGCTGTAGGAAGTGTGTGAATGCAAATGAGGTGCCAGTCTGAGACTCATTAAAACAGTTTAATCTTTTTCTAGATCGTGCAGCTGTTACAGAAAAGGCTGCAGCTGTTTAGATGAGTCCCAGACATGTACTTCATTCACGCTTCCACACTTCCTGAAGTTCCTCTTCCGAAAAGCATTTGCAAAGCATGACCCAACCTTAGCTTTTGCATGGTATCCAATCTGTGGTATGCTCTATCTGGATCGTGGACCCATCCCAAATTCTGGCTCTTTCCCACAGCTGCACCTTGCTCACTGAGATGGCATATTCTATGAATGATATTTTGTGGAGCAAACAGCATCCATGGTGTACTTTGGTAAGGAGGTAATGGGGCCCTTCCCCCATCCCCTCAATCCAGTCCAGGAGCACGTTCCAGCTTGGAGCTCTGTGCAGCTATTTTTCCTTCACAATTGAAATGGTCAGCAAAAATAATGTAATGTGCAGCTTACTGCTCACCAACTTATGAATAAATAAATTTTTCAGATCCACTGAAACCACTGCACAAATTACTATAGTTATTAATCTGCTTTGAGACAGGCACTTCCAAATGTATTACTATCTCAGTACATAGCTTTAATTAGGAGTATTCCCTCTCCACTCCTTACTGTGAACCACTTCTTGAAAGGTAAACTCTGATTTCTCCAAACGTTTGTTTAGATCAGTGATTTGAAGACAGCCAGGCAACTTGCTTCAGAAATCACGTCGAAAGGAGCTTCTCTGTATGACTTATTGGGCAAAGAAGTGATGCTAAGGGTAAGTCTACAAAGAGTGCTTTTAAGCACAAAGAAACATTTGAATGTCCCAAAACTGTTTTCTATTTTTAATATTTCTAGGTATGTGATACCCGATACGCAGCTACCTTTCAGTAACAAATCTGTGAATATTAATTCTCCTTATTCTTCTGTTGCTGGCTACCTTTCTACCTCTATCCATTTTCAGTCCCCACCCCACCCCTCAACTTGTGTCACCTTCTCTCTCTCATAAATTCCATCCTTCTCAGTCATGTGCCTAAGAGTAGAGAAGAAGGAAGATGGCCGTGACAGAGTTACACAAAAGTTGTTGCCTAGGCACAAGGGGCTGAAATATATTTTAAGTCCATAGCCGCCAGATAACATGAAGTGACTCAGAGAGACACCTCCCGAACTCACTGAACTAAAAATAGGAGGAGGAGGTACAAGAAAATCAGACTTGCAAGATTCTGTTATTATAGCTAATGTCAGTACAAGTAGTTGATTTCTTGGTCTGGTCTACTTGGAAGATCTGTCACTAAGCCAGATACTTCCCCTTTTCTATGCCTTTCTGGTTTATAGAGAAAAAAAGAGTTTTGTTCTTAGAAAACAGTGGAACTGGCTTAGCAACAGTGTTTGGCTGTTAGAGGTTCCTCTGTTGTGTTCAACCCACTGGGATGTTAGTATAGTTTAGGGCAGTGATGGTGAACCTTTTGGGCTTGGTATGTCAGAAGTTAAAAAAAATGCCTAATTTGACTCTGCTGATGTGTCACCCCGCCCCCTGAACAAAAGAGAAACAGTTCTTTATGTATTCATTTATTTAAAAAAAATACAGTCCAATCCTATGTGGTGCTATGTATTATATAAAGAAACGTCAGATAATTACAAAAATGAAATACGAGTAAA